TCTGGATATTATTGAGCTTTTGAATTCTATGTTACTGTATGTAGAAGAAGTACCAATAAAACTGTAAAAATAAATATAAATAGGCACAAGTTGGATAGTTAAAAGCCATTAGGATGTATACAAGATAAGTCTTCTCATGACAGGATACTATCCACAGGTCAAGCAGAAATGCTTGTCTAAACCAGAATGCTGTAAGAGGGACCACCAGTGAGGCTAAGCACAAAAATCTCCCAGAGAGTATCGGATCTCATCAAAGCAGTATCCAAGTGGCTAGTCTACATAAAAATAGGGTCCTGAGACATGAGTGCAGAAGCAACATTGAGATTGACCCCAAGCGCAAAATCCCCAACATTCCCTCTTGAAGAAATAGACCACGGGAACAATACAAAGCACTATAAACCACAGCCTTCATTTTGCTTTGACTAGGTTATGGTTGGTACGTGCCATCAAATTGTTTCCTACTCGCAAACCTATGTAGCACAGAACCAAACGCTGCGTAGTCCTCTGGAGTCCTCACAAGGGCTGCTAAGTTTGAGCCCATTGCTGTAACCACGATGTCAGTCCATCTCCTGGAGGGTCTTCCTCTTTTCCTGGGTCTCTGGTGACATGTCCAAAGTCTCATCGTTTTCACTTGTGAGAAGCATTTTGGCTGCCCTTTTTGTAAGAGAGATTTGTTCATCCTTTGGTAGCAGTGGTGATGTTAGGTGCCATCACGTTAGCTCTGACTCACAGGGACCCCATGTACAACAGAATGAAATACTGCCCAGTCCTGTGTCAGCCTCACAATTGTCCTTTTGTTTGAACCCATCAAAGCAGCCACTGTGTCAATCCATCTGGTCCAAGGTTTTCATCTTTTTTTCTTCTCTCGTCTTGACGAAACATGATGTCCTTGTCTAGGGATTGGTCTGTCTGGACAACATGTCCAAGGTGCTCGAGACCAAGTCTCACCATTCTTGACTCTAAGGAGCATCTGGCTGTACTTGCTCCAAGACAGATCTGTTTGTTCTCTGGGCAGTCCAGGGTCCTTTCAATGGTCTTGGCCAGCACCACATTCCAAATGTACCTACTCTTCTTCAGTCTTCCTTACTTAGTGTCCAACTTTCACATGCATAGGAGACTATTGAAAATACCATGGCTTGGGTCAGGCACACCTTAGTCTTCAAAGTAGCATCCTTGCTTTTCAATGCTGTTC